CCAACCCCAGGCAACCACTCTTCATTCTACTATCTGATTCTAGGAGTTGCACTCCTTTGGGTGTCTGGAATATGAGGAAGCACAGAGTGCTTGTTTGTTTGTTTGTTTGCACCTGGTATATCCCACTTAAAATCGCGTCCACAAATCCTCTTCAGGCTCCGGCATGTCACCCAGCTTCCTTTATTTTATACACACACACACACACACACACACACACACACACACACACACACACACATACATACATACATACATATATACATACACATATATGTGTATATATATTTTTAATTGTGCATATATGTGTGCATCTGTGTGAATTTACACCACATGTGTGTGGGCGGGAGCGGGTGCCTTCAGAGGCCAGAAGATGCCTCATCTTCTGGAGCTGGAGCTGCAGTAGGTTTTAACCATTCCTGCCCTCCATGTGGGTGCTGGGAACTGAACTCCTGGCTCTCTGGAAGAGCAGCCAGTGCTCTTTCTTAACTCATCTCCCCAGGCCCCACGTTGCCTTTCTTAAGGCTGAATGACACAGTGTTGTATGGTACAGCGCACTTTATTTGTCCGTTCATCTACTGGGGACACAGGGTTGGTTCTCCTTTTCACTGTTACAGGGTAGGACTCCTCAGCTAGCACACAGGCTCTTTCTTTGAACACCTGCTTTCAAATGTGATGTTGAGTGTTTAGCAGTGAAGCTGCTGGATTATCTAACAATTCTATGGTTACGTTATCTTTTTGTTGTTGTTGTTGTTGTTGTTTAATTATTTTTATTTCATGTGCATTGATGTTTTGCCTGTATTCATGAAAATGTTGGATCCCCTGGAACTGGAGTCACAGACAGTTGTGAGCTGCCATGTGGGTGCTGGGAATTGAACCTAGGTCCTCTGGAAAAGAAGACAGTGCTCTCAACCACTGGGCCATCTCTACAGACCCGTTGTTTTGGTTTTTTTTGAGACAGGGTTTCTCTGTGTAGCCTTGGCTGTTATGGAACTCCCTCTGTAGACCAGGCTGGCCTCAAACTCACAGAGATCCGCCTGCCTCTGCCTCCTGAGTGCTGTGATTAAAGGCGTGTGCCACCACCACCTCTAACCAGCATTGTTATTTACTTAAACCTTTAAGGCTTGCCCTTAATCTAAATACAGTTTTCCAGACTAAGAGCAATGTGGAAACAGCCAAGATTTTGACATGGTGACCTAAGGGTTGTGCCTCATGGGATTTTTAACAGTGTGGTGATGGAATACATTTGAATCCCTAACACATTTCTAGCCTTTCTGAGACAAGTCAACTGAGCCACTCTGGTTTCTAGGTTGGAGTATTTTCTCCACAACATCAACTAAAGAAGGCCAATAAACGATGAGCTACAACAGTTCAGGGTTTTGCCACCATCTGGGGGGAAATGCATCCCATCCCCCTGGTGCCTTGAGCAGGGTCTGGGCAGAGGCTTTCTCTTCTCTTCGTTTGCATCCTGTTCCTCAGTACAGATCCCTGCTCTTCTCAGGTCTGCACACTTGAAAGAGTTCCCCACTCCCCCGCCCCAGAGAATTCCACACACAGGCTCCTACTACACTGAATTTCCTGAGCCTCCAGAAGGACCGGGATTTGATTAAAGGCCTTGCGTGTTCTTCGCCTTTATAGGCCTTCTTTCCTATGGATTCTTGGATGCTAAGGAGTGTGAAGCATCGCTAAGGTATTGCACAGTCTCTATGTCTGCAGAGTTTGGCTCCAGTGTCAACACAAAAATATAGCTCTCGAATCAAAGAGAGTAAGACACAGTTTATCTTGGATACAAGTACAAGCAACTATGACCCAGAAATGCGGATCTGGGTTACCCCTCTACCATGTTCCAATATAGTAACAGTTTTATGGAGATTTTATAGATAGTTACAGAACAAGAGAAAGGCATACATCAAGACACTTAAAATTGTTACATTCATTTAGTGCACCCGAGTGCATGTGGGGTCAGAGAAGAGTTTGTGGGAGTCCGTCCTCTGCTTTGTGGGTGGCCAGCACTGCAAGCATGTCACTGGGCTGGCGGTCAACATCTTTACCTGATGAGCATCTCACAGGCCTCAGGGTGCTTTTCAAATCCATGGGCGGGACCAGGAGAAAAGGGAAGGAAATCTCTGTTACAGATTTTAGATGTTACCTTAGCTCTGGGGGTTGGTGGAAGCTGAGTCTGTTAAGGTAATATGTCCCAAAAGTGTTACATGACAGGCAGAAGGATGTGAGGCCAGAAACAGAGGTGGACAAATATTGGGGACTAAAAATTAAGGGGACTAAAGACAGCCCAAGAGAATTTGCCTGTGGATCTGCCCCACGCCAACTCTCCATAATCACAAAATTATGTTAATCAGCCATGCAGAATCTTTAACATGCGTGTGGCTTTCACTGGGAACATCAGTTCAGACCAGTATGTTCTTTACCACAAGGCTTTGCTTTGTACTTCTCTTGCTGGGTTTCTTCATATGTGGATAATATATGAACTCTTTGTTGCTATGTTTTCTTCATATGTGGATAATATATGAACCCTTTGGTGCTGTGTTCTCATTCCCTCGCTATTGGGTGTGTGGCTGTGAGGTTCTCATTAGTGCCTTTATTTCTTTGAGAAAGTTCTTTTCCATTTCTAGGTTATTGGGAATTTTATCATGAAAAGGGTTTTTCCCCCTTGTGTTATTTTGTTGTTGTTGCTGTTATTATTATTATTATTATTATTGTATGTGTATGAGCGTTTTGTCTGCACGTATGTCTGTACTACATGCATGCAGTGCCCTTAGATGCCAGAAGAGGGCATCCGGTCCCTGAAACGAGAGTCAAAGGGTCTCTCTGTGTAGCTTTGAGCCTTTCCTGGATCTCGCTCTGTAGACCAGGCTGGCCTCGAACTCACAGAGATCCGCCTGCCTCTGCCTCCCGAGTGCTGGAATTAAAAGCGTGCGCCACCACCACCCTGCCGAGTCAAAGATCTCGTAAGCCACTGTTTGGGTGCTGGGAACTGAACCTGGGTCATCTGGAATAGCAGTCAGTGCTTTTAACCTCTGAGCTGCCTCTCCAGACCCTTATAAAGGCCTTTCTTTTCCTTCATCAATTTTTATTATTTTTTAAAATGTTATGTGTTTTGCCTGTGTGCATGTATGTGTACCATGTGTGTGCCTGCTGACCATGGAATTCAGAAAAGAATGTTGGATCCCTTGGAGCTGGAGTTACAGATGGTTCTTAGCCATCATGCAGATTCCAGGAACCACATCCAGGTCCTCTGAGCCACCTCTCCAGTCCCTCACTAATTTTTTAACAGTCTTGTCACATAGCTCTGCCTGGCTTGGAACTGGTTTTGTGGCCCAGGCTGGTCTTGAACTTGTGATGATTTTTCTGCCTCTGCCTGAGTGCTGGGCTTACAGCATGAACCACCAGGCTTGACCACCACCACTACAATGACTACTACTACAGTTTTTCTTTCTTTCTTTCTTTTTCTTTCTTTCTTTCTTTTTATTTTATTTTTTTTATTTTATTTTATTTTTTGGTGTGGTTTGGTTTTCTGAGACACTCTGACCTCAAAATCAAATCTGTAGCTAAAGCTGGCCTTGAACACCTGACCCTCCAACCAGCAGCTCCTGATGCTGATGCTGGCTGGGGTTATAGGTTTGTGCCACCACATCTACATCCAGCAAAGATTTTTTTCATTAACTGAAATGACTGTTTCTTCTCCTTCATTCTAGTAATCTGCTGTATTGCATGTGTTGAATTTTGTTATTGTTGTTGCTGTTTTTGAGACAGGATCTCATGATGTAGCCTTGATGGCCTAGAACTCACTAGGTAGACCAGGCTGGCTTCAAACTCACAGAGATCAGCCTGGCTCTGCCTCTCAATTGCTAGGATTAAAGGAGTGTGTCATGCCATGGTTTGCAATCTCTTTAATACGATGCTTTATTTGTTTCTTAGTATTTTACTGAGATTTTTTTGCATATATACTCTCTCCCCTATCCATCCCTCCCTC